AGGTAAGAGAGCACCTGGGACCTGCGGAGAGCCATCCTACAGCCCCTGGTATTCAGGGTCGCAATAATAAGAGGCGTCATGCAGAGGGCTGGGGGGGGGGGGGCGCTTCGTGTTGGCGGGGGTGTTCAGGGCCCCTGGCGGGTTGCGCAGCAACCCGTGACCCATCCCGTGGGTGAGTAGATCACGTCGGAAGCTGCGGGCTCGCTCGTAGGCCGCAGCACTGCGCCTTCCTTGCCCCCTGTCCTCCTTTATAAGGGCCCTTGTGGCCTGGAGGATTTGATCAAAGTCCCCCCATAGCCGAAGAGCCAGCTGTGCCCTGTCGCGGGCGCCACGGGTGTGCTCTAGGAACTTCCGTAGCGCATGCCGCAGCTCATGGGGGGTGGGGTTACAATTCCTGGGGTATTCCCTGATGGGCCTCTTAATACAGCCTCGTGGTCCGCTAAGGCAGGTAGGGTGCGGACCACCGATGGGGCGTCTGACAGGCTGGGGTTATTAAATTCATTTCATGCCTTGGGGTAGAGGGGGATGGCCGGGGAAAAATTGCCACTCCTAATGGGTCGCGGCTATAAAGTGCAAAGACTGCTCCCTGGGGGGAATCTGCAAAAGGCGGAAAGGAAATAACCCCAGGGGCGGCATTAACATTACAGGAGGAGGGACCTTGGGCAGGGGCAGGGGTGGGGGCAGGGGCAGGGGTAAGGCTCTGGGGTGCAGGAGGCAAGCAGCTAAAGGAAAGTGCCTCCTGAGCAGAGTCAAGGGTTAAGGGGTAAGGGAGGGGGCTCCCAATAATGCTAGATGCTGGCTCCATGGTGGTCTTGGCGGCCATGGCATCAGGTGGTGAACCACTTTCTGCAGAGTGCTCACACGGGAAGACAATTAGGGGGAGGGAGCATGGGGAAAGGGAGGCTGGGGTAAGGCTACCCAGCTCAAGGCCAGCCGGCAGCAAATCATCCCCTCCCTGGGTGACCGGGGTGAAATCTAGGGCCTCAATCTCCGCATACACAGGGGAGAGGCCAACTCCTGCCACCCCGGGGGCCTCTCCTCTAGGGTCCGCCTCAACGGCCGCCTCGGGGTCCGCGGGGGGTTCGGGTAGCGTCCAGGCAGAAGGGGCGTCCTCAGAAGTCTCGGAGGGGAGGGTCTCCCGTGGAGGGGGGATTCTGCCCTCCAATGCCAGTCCGTCTTCCCCTCCCGACACCAGCGGATGGATCTCGCTCACGGCCGTGGCGGGAGGCTCGATAGCAGTGCCTCCTTTCCTGGTCTTCCGGGGGGCTTCTGCGTCGGGTGGATGCAGCGGAGCTCGAGCCTTCCGCTTGCCTCGCTTCCCCTGGACTAGGGTCCAGCCCTCCATAGCGTCATCTGGGGGCTGGTTAGCAGGGGTCGTGTCGGGGGGCGGAGGCGATGGTTTAGGAGTTCGGGGAGGTAGCGGTGGGGCAACATGAGGGGCGGGGGCTTCTCCTTGGGGAGGGCCCTCTCCTATACCCGATAATATCCTTGCCACACCCTCCTCCATGGGCTCTGTTGGGTTGGTACTAGCAAGGGTGGAACTCCCTTGCTCGCCCGGGCGTTGTAGGGAAGGTATCTCCTGGGCCCGGACGGGAGCAGCAATGGATCGAGTAGGAGGAGGGTTGGTTTCAGGTGCCGGGCAGCCAGGGGCGTCGGCAGCAACGGGGCCGATGTCCTGCCGGGTCTCGGGGGTTTCGGGGGCCCCTCCCCCCCGGGCCAAAGGGCAGTCTCTGCGGACATGCCCCGCTGAATGGCAGAGGTAGCACCGGGCCTCTCCGGTAGAATAAAAGACCCGATAGCGGGCTCCCTGGTAGGGGACTAGAAAGGACCCCTCAAGCGCCTCTTCGACACGCGCCCCTGCTGGTGGTAGAAGCTGCACTTGCCGGCGGAACGAAAAAATGTGACGGAGGGTGGGGTCCTTGCAGCCCAACGGGAGAGGGCTGATGACAGAGACAAGTTTCCCCAGGGTGGAAAGAGCGGGTAACAGGGCAGCATTGGGTAAGAAGGGAGGAACAGAGGTAAGGACGAGGCGGACGCCCAGGTCTTCTGACGGTTCTAGGGGGACAAACACCCCCCCCACCGTCAGGCCCCTCTCTACCGCCTCCTGGGCGGCATCCTCCGAGGCTAAGAAGAAAACAACCTTCCCATACATCTTGGAGGCCGCCACAATAGCCGTGGGTCCTACCACCTTCTCCAACGCCTGCACGTATGTCTCCACGTGGGGCGAGGCGGGCACCAGGAGGCAACGGACGCCGTGCTTCCTGGTCAAGGCGGGGAAAGGGCCTCGGCCGCTGGTGATGGTGGCGGAGGCGAGGGGGGGGGCGAGATGACGAGGCGGCAGGTAGGGGAGAGCCCGCCGCCGCCCGGGTATACGTCCTGGGGGCCGGGGGAGGGGCAATCGCAGAGCTGGTGGAGGGAAACACAGGGAGGGGCGCCACGGTTGATGACGAGGCCGCAGCGGTGGGGGCAGCCCCTGCCATGGAGGGCTCAGTGGTTTTAGCGGGGCCCTTTCCTTTCCATCCGCCCTGGCCCTTCCGGCGAACCGGGGGGGGTTTCCTAGAATCTGGGTGGGCGGTGGGTGCAGCAGCAGCAGCAATCACCCTGGTGCCTCCTGCTACCGGTGCTCCAGCAGGGGGGGTGGCAAGTATCTTAGCAATAGTGGCAGGGGGGGGGAACTTGGGGGTCGGGCAGGGATGGTGGTGGGGAAGGGACAACTAATTTTGTGGAAGCAATCTCACCCCTCTCGTTCCCCGCCATTGTGAGCAGGGAAAGACAGGGAGACACCGGAAGGAGGAGGGGGGAAGGGGAGAAAACGGAATAGCCCCTCCTTCCGCTAGGCTGCGGACAGGAAGAGAAGGAATGCCGAGGGGGGGGGACTGGGAGGAGGGGGGGGAACAAAATCGGGGTCCAGTAATAGGGGTAAGCTGTGGGATAAGCAATCCGGGGGGGGGTGCAGACCCACACACGTTTGTCCAAAGAGTCTCGGTTGGTCGGCTGTTGTGTCCGATCCGGAAGGCAAAGTTCAAAGCGAACAGCTGGATCCGAAAGGAGATGGCAGATTGCCAGCAGGGACAGACGGCGGGGGGGGCCGTGACAGTTGTAATAACGATGGGGGGGTAGGGGCACCGATGGATCGGGGGTGGGGGTCTCCACGCCACACCCCCTGTGCCGCCACAAACGCAAGTAATCACAGTCAAACTCCCCCCCACGAGAGTATAATTCAGAAAGTTACTCAATCTTACGGCCCTCTTCACGATGATTTATAGCTCCCTTGAATTATTTCTTCTTTCTGCTGAAATCTCCTTCTCCGGCTGTGTTGGCTGTGTTCCAAGGCCTTCGGCATGTTAAGAATGTTGTAAAGTCCGAGCTGCTGGCAAGACGGCTGGGTCTGGGGGTTTCCACTCCCCCCCCCCGGACAGCAAATCGGCAATCTTCCCCCCCCTCCTCCGGGGGCTCAGCTGAGGCAAGTAGCTGCGCCCGAAAGCAGGCGTGGGGGGGGGCGGGTGCTGGCGAAGGACGTAGACGGAAAAAAAACACAAAAAATGAAAAGAAAAAACAAAAAAGCGTCTGGCCCGGTCGGGGGGGGACTAAGGCAGGTGCAAAAAGTAAGAAAAATCCGGGCCAGGGGGCTTTAGGAAAGAATAGAAAGCAGATAGCTGAGGAGCAAGCAAAGGACGTTCCGTTTCCCAACAGGGGCGGTTCCAGAACAATCAGGAACCTCTGGAGACAATTAAGACAGGCTGATTAGAACACCTGCAGCCAATCAAGAAGCTGCTAGATTCAATTAAGGCAGGCTAATCAGGGCACCTGGGTTTTAAAAAGGAGCTCACTTCAGTTTGTGGTGTGCATGTGAGAGCTGGGAGCAAGAAGCATTAGGAGCTGAGAGTGAGAATGTGGACTGTTGGAGGATTGAGGTGTACAAGCATTATCAGACACCAGGAGGAAGGTCCTGTGGTGAGGATAAAGAAGGTGTTGGGAGGAGGCCATGCGGAAGTAGCCCAGGGAGTTGTAGCTGTTGCACAGCTGTTCCAGGAGGCACTCTAGACAGCTGCAATCCACAGGGCCCTGGGCTGGAACCTGGAGTAGAGGGTGGGCCCGGGTTCCCCACAAACCTCCCAACTCCTGGTCAGACACAGGAGGAGTCGACCTGGACTGTGAATTCAGAAAAACGGCCAAGCTGAGGGCTGCTGTGAAGCTCCAAGTTGAGCAAATTCACCAATAAGCTCAAGACCCACCAAGGCAGAGCAGGAACTTTGTCACAACTGGTACAATTGAGTCCACATTAGTGGTTATCCTGATATAACTGTATTGGTAAAAAATCACATCTCTAATTAACAAATACAAAAATTGAGTGTATCAAAGGCTTAAACCAATTTTAAAACACACCTTTAGTTAAGCTAGTGTGTGCAGATAACCGCATAGTTTCCTTAGCAAGGATAAAAGAAGGTAGAACCTTTCCCCCATCCTTGCAGGTGACTGAGATCTTGGGGTTCTGCCTGTGGGAGTGGAGCTCATTTAGGGAAGTTAGAAGTAGCCTCCCAACCTGCAAAGGCCCAAAAGGAGGATGAATATGAGACAAAGACCCAACTGGCGTACATCTAGAGGGATCTGGATTTACCCCCTCATCCATCTCATTTAGAGAGACCCTCATTTTGTGTTAAGATGATGCTGCATATTTAGAGATAGCCCTCACAAACTTTCCTAGAGGTCATTCTCCAGGTACATAGCTACATCATCTACTTTCCTTTAGTAGCATCCTATTGATGAATGAAATGGATGGGCAATACTGCCATCAGGATGTAATATAGATGACAGGTGAGGGACACCATTTCTAGGGGCTTGGGTTTCCCAGTTACTGCTTTGATGGGTATAACAAGCATAAGGAAGTGTATCCTGATACTTTATTGTGCTCATTGCTAACCATTATTAGCAGTAGTAAGTTATAAGCATGATTTGTGAATAATCAATCTGGAAAGGCAAGGCTCATTCATTCAGAAAAATACATTGACGTAGGCAAAAGTTTAATGAAAATTAAACAGCAGATACATATTCATAGAGTGAATAATTGAGGCTGACATGTGTGACTGCTGCTATAACTTTTGAATCTGGTCACAGGTCACTGAAGATAACGTGTAGAAAGAAAAGGAAAAGGAACTATGCATGCAGAAAAAGAAAAAATGGACTTTCAATAAAATTTTTGTTACTTGGGAAAAAAATTAGGACCACATTGTGTACTGATTTACGCCTCATCCAGCTCTGAATTTAAGTGGGGTTGTATGTAATATAAATTAATGCAGAATGTGACCCCCAACAAGCACTTTACATCTTAGCACTAATCAGATGTTTCAGTCAAAAGGACACAGACAAAGGGATCCTGTCCCAGAAGAGTCTTGTAAGGACTGTGGTGGCATGGACATAAAGGAGAAACCTAAGGACCAAAGAGAAGACATAAGTGGGACAAAGTAACGGCACAAAATATATTCAGTGTTGCTCATTATAATTTGTGATTTTTGGGACTACATGTGATCTATTTGCGTCTGTGGGTAGCTCTATCTGGGGAGATGTAGGTGGGTTTCTAGGGCTACAGTTAATCAAAATTTTATTGCTATAGCTGAAATGAGTGATGGTATAAATAGCAGAAGGGCTGGTTTGGTGTTATTGCGCTTATGCCAAAGAAATTGTTTTATCTTCGGGATTTCCTGAGGGTTTAAAATTGAGTTTTAGTTATGCTTGTTCTTCTAAAAATCAGAATGTTTTAGATAATATCTATGCAGCAATCAGAACACTTCAATAAATGTCAATATAAAAATCCACAAAGACTATGTACTGAACTGTCTGATATATGAAAGAAAGAAAATGCAAATGATTAACCAAACAGTCTTTGAATTGTGTTACAGTCAAAGACTATTCATTTCTATTTAAAGGTCTAGATCAGGGGTCAGCAATCTTCAGCACACGGCCCATCAGGGTAAACTGCTGGCGGGCCACGAGACATTTTGTTTACGTTGACCGTCTGCAGGCACAACCCCCCACAGCTCCCAGTGGCTGCAGTTCGCCATTCCCGGCCAATGGGAGCTGCGTGAAGTGTCAGCCAGCACGTCCCTGAAGTCCACACCACTTCCGCAGCTCCCATTGCCCCCCCCCCCCCACTGTTCCTCAGACGTTCTTGTTAACTGCTGGAAATGGCCCACCTTGATTATCACTACAAAAGTTTTTCTCGCCCCCTCCCCCCTCCTGCTGGTAATAGCTCATCTTCAGTGATCACTCTCCTTACAGTGTGCATGATAAACACCCATTTTTTCATGTTCTGTGTGTATATAAATCTCCTCACTGTATTTTCCATTGAATGCATCCGATGAAGTGAGCTGTAGCTCACAAAAGCTTATGCTCAAATAAATTGGTTAGTCTGTAAGGTGCCACAAGTACTCCTTTCCTTTTTGCGAATACAGACTAACATGGCTGCTACTCTGAAACCTGGTAAATAAAAGGCAGTGCATTTTCTTTTAGAAATCTGTCATTTTAGGATGATTTGTTGCAGAATATAGCACTTTATAACCTGATGGAAACAGTCCTTGTAATTCAGTTACTTCATGTATTGGTCTTTCACCTCTTCTATGAGCAAAATTAGTTTGATGTGCTCATCCTACTTTCCATTTTTGTGCATTACAAATCCCCCATATGTAAACATACACCCAGATTAAACAAAGAAGTTGCAGATCATCACCATAACTAGTTACTGCAAAACCACAGTCTGGACTTAGTGTTGTCACTTATTTCAAATAGTTTCTCACGGGTACAGGATATTGATGGGGCACTACATTGGGCAAAGGTTTGGGCAAAGGTTTGTCTAACCTCTCCACATTCATATTTGGGTTCATTCTGCTTCCCTTTGGTTATGTTATCACAAGTCTTTGCTACACCAACTCTCCCTCAATTTAGAGTATAGCAGTGTTTTTCCTTGAGGTCAGTGCCTAGAGGGAGTTGTTCTGAAGGAGCCAAGTTCTTCAGGGTCATCTGCATTTCCCACAATTTTTTTTATTTTTTACTGTATGACTTCCACCATTGTATTTTGGGGTAAGGTATTTTCAGAGGAAAAGCTCTTTCTGGATTTCAGTGTCTTGGGTGGTGAAGTCTGGCCATGCCATGAACATCTTATTTTGTCTCTCCCTGTTATTGAGGGCATCCTGCCCCTCTGATGATGGGGCAATCCCAGCTAGGTAGTATAAGGACAATGCTGGAGTTGGTTTCAAAGGATTGTGCTGATCCTACAGGATTGATTGAGTTCAGTATCAATTTTGTATGCATGGCTCAATTGTGATTATACAGGGCGGATTATTCCACAGCTGAGCATTACAGGATGAGACTGGTTGCTCAGAGTGTTTTAGGGTTTGCTCCCCATTTTAAATTCGCCAGTTTTTGGAGTACACAGTTCCTGGGGTTCCATTTTTTTAAGCTTCTTGGTGTACTCTTTGGATGTCAGGGGCTGTTGACACTTATGACACTCACAACTGTCATGCACTCCTAGTGAAACTAGCAAGAATTCTGAGAAACATCAAGATGCCCAGATCTCCCTGCTCTAGAATCAATGTTTCTTTATCAAGATGAATGTTCAGAAAAGTTGATGAGAGATTCCATGGAATATGTTTCCCCAAGGATCAGCACTAGCACCCTTGTTGCTTAATGCCTACACAAATGACCAACCAGAATTTCCCAATGTGCAAAGAATCATTTATGCCAAAGATTTTTCATTGCCATGCAGTCAGAAGGATTTGAGCACATTCTAAATGGCTCCCTGCGTGTCCTTGGAGAATATTATTGCACATGGCTCCTGAATGCCAACCCTTCCAAGACACGTGTCTTCCATCTGAAACACTGTCAAACCCTGTAAAACTTCAGATATCACTCCTTGAGAACAATAACCATCTGGGGTCACACTAGACTGAATTCTGATAACAGTGAAGTGCATTGACAAAACTTGGGAAAAAATGCTATTTGCCTGTCTCACTTTGTAAACACCACATCAAAAATGTGAAACGAAAATCCATTACAAAATACTGATGGGGATCAAAAATTGTGGAAAAGCTATTTTTGCATATCCCTAAAATATTATTAACTCTGTCAAACAAAGATAAACATTTAATATATTTTAAAGCAATTTTCTTCCTAGGATCTGAAAAGTGTTTTATATGTAGTTGATTGTTCAGCCTCTAAGGAATTGTAAAAGCTGAACATTTTTCAAAAGTTCCTTTAAAAAAGTTATTTTGCCAAGAAGCATACTGAAATGTCTAAACAGCTATTTTTCTACCACTGAGTAGTTTTAAACATTCACTATATTTCACTGAAAGTTAGATATCTCTTTGTCATGGCATGACTCTACTGCCTGTAGAAGACATGGAAGTACAGAGAACACAGGCAACACAAAATAAAGTAGACAGCATATTGAAAGTATCTCAGATTTGTTAGTGCACTGAAAATCTTTATATGAAAAATAAATCACACTAGTGCGTCAGAAATGAAGCAAAAATAGTAATTTTTCAAAATGCATTTAGGAGAAAACATTTTGATCATCTGTGTCATAATGCAGCACCTTCTCAGATGTGTCTCAAAATCCAGAGGTAAATACAACAGGAGAGAATACAGAAGTTACAAATATGTAAGTTTTTAGCTCTTAGGGGGAAGCTATGAGACAATAATTGCATGTAGCAGAGCATTCATCATTTAAGGCCTGATACAACATTCATGGAAGTCAATAGAAAAAAATAAAAATGACTTCAATGGAGTAAGATTGAACTTCAGATCTTAGTTGCTAAAATTACAGAAATGTTGTCCATAACAGAGAAGTAGCAAAACAGCATATCCACAATAAAAATAAAAACAATCTTCAGAAACAAAGGAGAAGGAGTCTCGTTAATCAAATTGTAAATACATTCCAGTGCATACATTTTGCACTAGTCCTGCCACCATTACTCATGCAAATAGTTCGATTGAAGTAAGGCTTGTAGGACTCAGCCCTTTTATTAATATTTTATCAAAATTTGGTAATTTGAAAAGAGAGGCAACCTGACCTATGGGATGACACACTGGCGGTACAGATACATTTGAACTGGGAGGTGTTATTCACAGCTTGTTTGAATGTATCCATACTAGCTCTTCTGCAGCTAGCATGCAAAAAAAAAAAAATAGCAGAGTAGCTGGGGAAGCATGGGTGTTGTCTTGGGTTTGCATCTTGAGTATGTATCCAGGGGGCCCAGGTGGGTTTGTACACAGGCAGCTAGCCAGAGTGCCCCCCTATGCAACAGAGATATTTTTAGCACATTATCTGGAGCAGAGCTAGAATGGGTATATTCATGTGAGTTGGGAATCACACCTCCCAGCTCAAATATAAACGTACCCTTAGACCGTCAACTATTAAGTGAGGAGTCATAGGGAATTTTGAGCCTTCGTGTTGTACATACACTCACCCAATTTGTAATGTTCAGTTCATTTTCCCAGTGTATGCAAATCCATAATGATATGCAGATCATATGGAATGTTATGTTGCATCACAAAGCATCTGGATGGCAGATGAGAGAGGGAAAGAGACCCCACTGCAGTCTTCTTATTTATAAGCTCAAAACCACTCCCTACTTTAGGAATGTCCAGTCAGTCAGATGTCTCTGCCACGGTGCCTGGAGTGGCTCAACACTGTGTGTGCCTACCTCAGGGCACACTGTCAGAAAACAAGGTAGATACCCCACACTGGTGGTGTGTTCTGTAATTAGATTTCACCCAACCAGTAACACAAGTGAACTCCTGGATCACTATACCACTCTTGCCATGGAGTCACTGACAGTCCTCTTAGACTCTCCAGACTATCTTGCCACCCAGACAGACTTAACTTTATGATAAAAGGTCAAGTAAACCAAAAATCACACCACATCAGGGTGCTCCATGTCACAAGAGACCAGTCACCTATCCCAGATCAATTGGTCACATCTTACATCAAAGACAATGCTAGCAGTCAATTCTATACTAAACTAACTGAAGGTTTATTAGCTAAGAAAAGGAAATGAGAGTTATTAAGAGGTTAAAGCAGGTAAAATATATTAACAGATGTTATTAACAGTATATATATACACTGTAGGTAAAATATATTAACAGTTTGTAATTCCAAATGGTGGCAGTGATGTAAGAGCTTCCAGTTTCCCAAAAGTCTTTTCAGGAAACCTAGATTGTCTCTGGGGTCTCTGTTTTGATTCTGGTACACTTCCCTGTAAGGGTCCAAACAGGCCAGAAGGATCTTTCCATGCATCCATACATAGAGCTTCTTCTGACAAAAAAGAAAGCTGACAGTCTCTCTACCAGGTGGGCTTTTCCTTTGATGACAATGAGTGACAGATGTGCTTTGAGTCTTTGACCTCCGGTCATCACACACAATGGCCACTTACTTTGAAATTAGCACTTTTCTGTTAAAGTTCTTAATTTGCATTTCACCAGGATTCTTTATTGTCTGAGTTTTTTTAGTTATGGGGCATTTACAATGTAAATGTAACAGGACATGGATAAATAAAAACAATGCACACACCATCCCATTAGTTTTCATGAAGTTAAACACCAAATATACCGTAATACATTTGAAAAATTACTTTTATCTATACTAATACACAAGCAAATTGATCTGAATAGTCTCTAGACTGACCTGGTCTAAAATGACCAGCATCAGAGTCTCTTCACTTATTCAGTCTCTCTTAGGTGATTCCTTTAATATTACCCCAGACATTTGGTTCAGTGTGCATCAAAGTTGAGATACCATCATTCAGACTGTGGTGCCATCTCACAGCAGTTTACTAAAATATGCTCTCCACTTCAGTAGGGACCATATGGTCCAATAGATTTAGACCCTGAAATAATGAAAGACTCTGGCCTTTATTCTCCTCTCCCACTACACTGCACAGAGATCTAGGAGAACATATTTGCAGAAAAAAACAGGGGGAAATTGTTTCCAACTGCAAAACATCTGCATGACCCAAAAGTGGGCAAAGCCAGTGGTGAGGTTAACAAATACTCTCCAATAAAGCTGTAAACAAGCTACAGGAAAAGCTACTTAAAGTTATTACTGTTGAGTCAGCATTAATTACCATTTACACTCTTTGACTCATGTTTTTAAATTAGTTTTATTTTCCTTACACCTATTTCTAGATTTAGATGATTACCGAAAGGGAATGGTCTAAACTGTGTGTTTTAATAAATGTGTATTTACCTCTGCTTTGTAACAGAAAGGACATATCTCCATCCGTTGTAGATTGGACACTGGTGTCGATCTCGTGATGCTAATGGAGCCATATCGACATACACCAGCTGAGGATCTGAACCAAAATGTCCACCTGTATCACAAAACCTTTTAATTAGGTTTTAGCAAAGCAATTTCCATACAGCCCATTTTATTTCCATGTTTGCTACATGGAGTTTTGTCCTTGTAAACAGTACAGATTAAATACCTGTTTAGTATAGTGAAAAAACCCACACAGAAGTTTGCCAATTTTGCCACATGGGGAAAAAAATCCTTCCAGACCCAAACAAACTTTGGCATTCAAACTTGCTCCATCAGTATAATAACAGACATACTAGATAAGGGTGGGTAAAAATCAGACTGGAACAGAGCCCCAAATGACCACTCAGCAGCAAGAGCAAGCTATAGCCACCCAGGCAATGTGCCCTGATCATGGCCCCACAGCAGGAGTGGGTATCCAGGTAATGGAGCCCCTCCCACCATGTGAGATACCCTGGCTGAACCTTCCTAGCAGCATGTGGAGAGGGAAACAGGGAGGGAACAAGAAAGAAGCAACAATCACCTCCTCCTCCTCCTCCATAAGCACATACTGAAGGGAGAGGAAGGGGGAACCAGAGGAATCACACATAGCAATGCCCCAGCTGCTCTCGCTTGGGATCCCCCTTCCAACTCTTCCCAGGAGGCAAAGGGCATTTCCCCATCATCTCCAGACTCATCAAAGACACACCCTGACTAGTGAAGTGAGCATTTCCCACAATTGGTACAGCCCTGATGAACTGCAAATGTCTGCACTCAGGGTGCAGAACTGTGACTTACTCCAGTCACAGGAACAGCATTGCAATGAGGCTTTACCTCACACAAAGGAATTATTAATTTGTACCACTTAACTAAAAAAAGACGGCAATATCTAAGGCAAGCCATTTCACGTGTTTTTAAAGCCACCCAGCCACTTCAGAGAAAACAGTTCAGTCATACAAAGCTGTGACATGAATATAATTTAAAAACAATCTTCTTAGAAAAGGTTAGCCATTCAAATGACCAACTTGTACTCCAAAGCACTGTTGACTACCTTAAAATATTTTAAAATATCTGTCCTTTGTTTTGATGGCAGGACAGATAACCATCAACATATTCAATGTTTTGTGATTAATCTCTAAACATCTTTAGAGTAGCAGCTGTGTTAGTCTGTATTCATAAAAAGAAAAGGAGTACTTGTGGCACCTTAGAGACTAACACATTTATTTGAGCATGAGCTTTCGTGAGCTACAGCTCACTTCATTGGATGTAAGTGAGCTGTAGCTCACGAAAGCTTATGCTCAAATAAATTTGTTAGTCTCTAAGGTGCCACAAGTACTCCTGTTCTTTAAACATCTTTAGCTTCTTTATTTTTATTTTCATTTATTTTGTTTTTATTTTCCTCATGAGAGCTTTTACAGCACATGTTTTCCTACCAAGGAGAAAAGAGTCTACATCCTCCCTGGATATGTGCCTTTATGTCCTGTCTAACCCACCACCATCCTCTCATATTGCATCTCTCTTCATTAAATCCTCCTTTAGCATCATCTTTGTACACAGAACCATAGCCATTTGGGGATCCTTACTGCAAACACTTACTTACATAAATAAGGCCATTGCATTCATTGTAATTCTATTAGTCACATGAACAAGAGTTCAAAGGCTGAGGTTACTTGTTTCTAATCAGCAGGTGTGGGATGGGACTTGCTTTCAGGTAGCTCATCAGTGCTGTTCCTAAATCAGCCAGACTCCAGACGTAGTTTGGGAAATTACAGTTTGGTGGTGGGACTGAGTTCAGGAAATAAAATAAAATAAAAAAAAAAAACCCACACTCAGCAATGAGTTAAAAAAACACAAAACCCTCAGCAATGAATCATTGCAAATTGACTTGTGCCTGCACATGGCTGCACTGTAAACGTTTTGCACGCATGCTCTATGTTCACATTGAAACTGACATTATCCCAATTCATATGACAGCACGTCCATGACCACCACAATGAACCTAAAAATAAGTTCTCTGTGAAAAGATTTGGCTGTATTTGGACACTCTTTTAGGCATTATTCACCAGTTTCTTTTCACACCCATTAAAATTTGTAGTTCAAGAGCATTGTTTCATGGGAATGCTGATTATTGTTATCTCTGTGGACAAATACACAAACAGAAATATTGCAGATACAGATGAATTTAGCTTTTAACTATTGCCTAACGTGAGATGGTCTTACATATTTATGAAGTTGTGCACCAGTGAATTACGATATGAATAATCTAAATACACTGCTGAACATACACATTTTAGGGAATGGCCCTTAGGAGTAGATTCAGCATACTACATTCTCACTTGTGTTGGCTGGCGTAGCTCCATTCATTTCAATGACAGTATGCTGATCTGCAACTAGATCTCTTGAGTCTGCACAGTAACTCTTTGAAGTCAATGGGGATCCACCTGCCTGAATCTCTTTGTAGGACTACAGGAGCATGGGGTGGGGGTGGGGGGCAGCATGTTGATTCCAGAATCAAAGGTCTACATTCTGTTTGGGGGAAATCAAATTCTGTCAGTTTCATTTTGAGATCAATGAGGACTTAAGAAAAGAAAAGAATTTGGCAAAGATGTAAAATGAGAGTCTGCTTAAATTTAGCACAGCTGAAATCAGTTGTGTTCTGTAGACATGTAGCAGAGTCCTATAAAAATTACTGTATGAGCCTATAGAATTTAATAGTAGGTGACAGCCTGGGAAAGGAAAAAAGGAAAAGATGAAAACCCTTTGAAAAAAAGTGAACAGAGATCATAGCAGAAAGAGGGCTGAATTACCCTCTCCTGCTGCACAAACTAGGGCCTAACACATGGGAGATACATGAGTTAATGGAAACTTTAAAGCAAAGTGGTACAACATGTAAGACTTTTGACATCAGTGGAACAAAATGTGAGGTTTACAGGGATCAAAATCTGTGATTTGGATAATAAAATAGAAGGTATGGAGAATTGTTTAGTCTGGGGTTGAAAAACAGGAGCAATGCCAATCTGCCAGAGATCAGGGGGCACCGTGGTCAGGGAGGGTGTCTTGGTCAAGAGGCAAGGAGCAGGGCATGCCTGGGATGAGAGGCTATGGAAAGAAACTCAGGCCAATGGGGAGCGGGGGAGGGGCAGGGGAGGCATCAGGGCCCAGGCACAATGTGGGGAAGGCAGCAGGAGACAGAAGGGATGTATGGGGAGGCCAGGGAGGCAGTGAGGGCCTGGGGCCAGACATGCCAAACCCACAAAAAAAAAAAAATCCGAAATTGGGCTTGGTTTTTGGCTTAATTGGCTTGTGAATTGCTTGTTGGCTAGTTTTTGGCTTGTAGCTTGTTTTTTGTTTGGCATGTAACTTGCTGCTTGTTGCAGCTTGTTGTTTATTTTTTTTTCCATCAGCTCCCAGTAACCATGGGCAAGAGGGGAGAGAGTCAGGGGTGCACAGCAGGCCCACCACAGTCCCAGATGGCCCACCAGGGGGATCTAGTCACATAGAGTGTTGGGGTTCTTAGGGTTTGGCTTGTTCTGGCCTTATTTTGAAATGGGATTAACTTGATTTTTGTCTTATTGTGAAAGTCGGGGTGCTTATTTTACGTGTGAAAGTTGGCAACTGTTATGCCAGGGGTGCCAAAATACAGGTTCGCCCAGAGCGCCATTTTTCCTAAGGCAGACCCTGCCTGGAACTGCAGACGTTTTCTGCAAGCAACTGTTTCAGACTTGAGCAACTGAAACCTGGTCAAGAGCAAATATATCAAGTGAAGTTTTTAGCAAAGAAATAGTTGATTTTGTGGAACAAAAAATGCCCACTGATTTGGGGCTGGACTTTCCAAATGATTTTCTAGATACAGACTAGTGCTGAAGAATTCCAGTTATGTCAAAGCAGAAAAATGCAGATGGGAATATTCTGATTGAAGAGATAAAAGCAGAGGGAGACATTTTAAGGACTGGGAGAAAAAATATGACCTTGGTCTCCGTCCAGTTACCCAGAAGAGGAGGAAAAAGCTCACAACACTTGAAGCTTTTCAGCATGACAATATAATGGTAGCTGTGCTATCCCCTGCTAAATTCATGGCCCCCATGAAGAGAAAGCTTTCCTGTTTTGGGACACTGACTCTGTTTCTAATTTGCTGGGCTACTTCAAACAGCACAATGCCTGATCACTGGTGGAGTCTCAGGGGGACTCTTATTAACTTACCCCTATTTCTTCTTAGATTTTTGGCACATCAGTTTATAAACTGGAATACTAATTAGCTCATACATACTGTTTTCTCTGGAAGATAGGAATTGCTGTCAAACTAGTGAGCCATCTACCTCAGTATACAGGCTCTGATTGTGGCCAGTACCAGTTATATGTTACTTTTACAAATCACATAGTAGACAGCTATGGGATAATTTACCCATAGGAAAAATATGTGTATCCCCATCAGTTAGTGACAGACTTAAGCTTTAAATATAGGAATTTATTATCCCTCTTTACGATCAAATATGTATTTTCTCTTCCATGTTATTTTTCTGGTTTTGGGGTGTGGTTTTTCAACAGTAGTTGGATAAGATGGTTAGGAGTTTTGGATACTTAGGGGCTTTGAAAATGGACAAAAAAGAGGATGGCATGGGAAAGACTTGAAATGATTTCAAGGATTAGTATTTTGTTTAAAGCAAACTCTGATAATCTAGAAGGAATAGACTATTTTTTCTCATTGCTAACTATAAGATAATACGTATTATTGTAATTGATTTTATTAAATTCATTAAAAGTAAATCTAGTCTGTCTCACTGTGGCAGAAAAATATCCATGGGTTTGTTTACAGGATGGAGGACTATATTATGGTAAGTAGTGACTCTGATTAGAACTTGAGGTTATTGTCAATCAGCTGAACATAAATTTCCAGTGTAATGCTGTGACAAATGGCTAATGTGATCCTTAGATGTATAAACAGGGGAATATTGTGCAGGAATGAGGAAGTGATATTGAAACTGTATATGGCACCAATGAAACCACTGTTGGAATACTATGTCGAGTTCAGGTGTCCTTATATTAAAAAGGACACTTGAAAAATTGGAGAATGTTTACAGAAGAACTATAAGAATATATGTGCTTTGGAAAACACCTTACAATGAAAGACAATAGATGCTTATTTTACTTAGTTTGTTGATGAGAAGTACAAGGAGATTTTTCTAAAAGTACCTACAAAGGGAGATAATATTTGATGCTATGGGGCTCTTTAAATTAGCAGACAAATGCATAACAAGACCCAATGGCTGTAAGCTGAAGTCAATGAAGTTAAAACTGGAAACAAGATACAAAATTTTAAACACTGACAGCAATTAACATTGGAACAGATTACCAAGGGATGTGATAAATTCTCCATCTCTTGGACTTTTTAAATCGTGATTGGACATTTTTATGAAACATACGTTCTAGTTCAACCACTAGTTATTGGGCCAGATCCAGGAAGATACCAAACTAGATAGTTATAATGGTCCCTTCTTGAATTAAAATCTATGGATCCGACAGTGAAGCTCTGTGACCTTGATTTTCGGAACATCCTCTGTGAAAGGCTATTTTTTCTCTCCACTTCCAGAATGTCTCTCTCTGCTTCTAAAATCCTCTTATTTGCTCATTTCTCTGCTCTGTGAGCCTGAACTTTTCATTGACTTCCACTAGCTTTTGAATTAGCCCAGATGACTCTCATGTTCTGCCTTCAGTAACCATTCATTTGCCTCTCTTTTTCCAAAGTTTCATCCATCTCTCCTATTATTTGTTTTCAAGGACCTAGTTTCAATTGGCAACCCAAAGCTTTAAATTTCTGAGCTTAACTGCTGAAAAATTCTCTCCTGTGGGTTAAAATCTGCCCTCAGATGCACATGTGCCATTCTCATAGATTTAAATGAAAGCAGTGCATTGCCAAGAGTAAAATGTTCTAAATGGAGCTCTTTAGTAAGGTATTTTTATAAATAATGGAAGCACATTTTTCTCTTTTAGTTTTATTATCTAAACAAGTACATAAAAAGCTTTGTTGCAAAAAAGAAAAAAAAAACCTATCAAAGGAACTCACTGAGCATTTCAAGAGCAATCAATGATTATCAAAAATAATTTCAGAAACAATCCACTATTTCTTTACTGTCT